GCCTTGTAGGATGTGGGGAAGAAAATAAATCAGGAGATAGAGAAGCCATGATTATAAGTACAGTGGGGATTACAATACACTAGTGAACTTGAAAAATCAGGTTGGCAGCAGATCTCAAGAAAAGGAATTTGTGGAATGTACGAGATGGTTTTCTGGAGCAACTTGTGGTAGAACCCACTAGGGAACAGGCAATTCTGGATTCGGTGATGTGTAATGAGGCAGACTTGATCAGGGAGCTGAAGGTGAAGAAACCCCTAGGGGGGCAGCGAACATAATATGATAGAACTCACTCTGTAGTTTGAGAGAGAGAAGCTTGATTCAGAAGTAACGTTATTACAATTGAGTGATAGTAACTACAAGGATATGAGGGAGGAACTGTCCAGAGCTGATTGAAAGGAGAGCCTAGCAGGGAAGATGGTGGAGCAGCAATGGCAAGAGTTTTTCGAGATAGTTTGGGAGACACAGCATAAATTCATCCTAAGGAACAAGAAATGTAAGGGGAGGATGGAGCAACCATGGCTGACAAGGAAAGTCAGGGACAGCATAAAAGCTAAAGAAAAAACACACAATGTGGTAAAGATTAATGGGAAACCAGAGGATTGGGAAGGCTTTAAAAATCCAGCTGAGTATAACTAAAAAAAAAATCAATAAGTGGGAGAAGCTGGAAAAGAGAGTAAGCTAGCTCGTAATATAAAAGGAGATCGCAAGAGTTGTTTTAGATATCTAAAAGATATGAGAGAGGCAAGAGTGGACATTGGACTTCTGGAAAATGAAGCTGAAGTATTGGTAATGGGGGACAAAAAAACAAAAAATGGCAGAGCAACTGAATAAGTACTTTGCATCAGCTTTCACTGTGGAAGATACCTGCAGCATACCAGAACTTCAAGAGAGTCAGAGGGCAGAGGTGAGTGTAGTGGCCATCACTGAGGTGAAGTGCTGGGAAAGCTGAAAGTTTTGAGGGCATATAAATCACCTGGACCAGTTGGTCTGCATTCCAGAGTTCTGAAGCAGACAACTGAGAAGAATGTAGAGGCATCGGTGGTGATCTTTCAGGTATCACCAGAATCAGGGAGGGTCCCAGAGGACTGGGAAATGGCTAATGCAATATCACTGTTTAAGCAGGGAGGGAGGCAAACAAACAGGAATCTACAGGCCAGTTAGTCTGACCTCAGTCGTTGGTAAGATTTTAGATTTCATTATTAAGCATGAGTTTGTGGAGTACTTGGAAGTGCATGGTAAAATAAAATGGGATCAGCACAGCTTTGTCAAGGAGAGGTCATGCCTGACAAATCTATTAGAATACTTTGAGGAGTTAACAAGCAAGTTAGACAAAGGAGAGCCAGCGCATGTGATCAATTTGGACTTCCAGAAGGCCTTTGACATGGTGCTGCACAGGCGGTTGCTAAATAAAATAAGAGCCCATGGTGTTAGGAGCAAGGTACTAGCATGGATGAAGGATTGACTGTCTGGCAGAAGGCAGAGAATGGTGATAAAGGGGTCTTTTTCAGGGTGGCAGCCAAGCTGGAAAGGGTTCAGAAGAGATTTACCAGGATATTGCCCAATGTAGAAGGTTTAAGTTATAAGGAAATGTTGGATAGGCTGGGATTTTTTTCGCTGGAGCATAGGAGGTTGAGAGGTGACCTGATAGAAGTTTATAAAATAATTAGAGGTATGGATAGAGTTGATAGTAGTTGTCTTTTCCCTCAGATGGGAAATTTGAAGAGTAGGGGGTATGCTTTTAAGGTGAAAGGGGAGAGATTTAAAACAGACATGAGGCAAATACTTTACACAGAGGGTGATTTGTGTGTGAACAAAGAACAAAGAACAAAGAAAATTACAGCACAGGAACAGGCCCTTTGGCCCTCCAAGCCTGCTCCGATCCAGATCTTCTTTCTAAACCTGTCACCTATTTTCCAAGGATCTGTATCCCTCTGCTCCGTGCCCATTCATGTATCTGTCTAGATACATCTTAAATGACGCTATTGTGCCCGCCTCTACCGCCTCCGCTGGCAACGCGTTCCAGGCACCCACCACCCTCTGCGTAAAGAACTTTCCACGCATATCTCCCTTAAACTTTTCCCCTCTCACCTTGAAATCGTGACCCCTAGTAATTGAGTCCCCCACTCTGGGAAAAAGCTTCTTGCTACCCACCCTGTCTATACCTCTCGTGATTTTGTAGACCCTCAATCTCCGTCTTTCTAATGTAAATAATCCTAATCTACTCAACCTCTCTTCATAGCTAGTGCCCTCCATACCAGGCAACATCCTGGTGAACCTCCTCTGCACCCTCTCCAAAGCATCCACATCCTTT